GGGGGGGGGTTTGGGGGGGTCATTTTTGTGCTCGACAAAGTGGGAAAAGTTTTGCTTGGCTCCTGGGAAGGCGGGAGAAAAAAAGGGAAAGATGGCCGCCGGGATGGCGCCAAGCCGGGCCTGCTTTTTATTTTTATTTTTTATTTTTCATGTGCTCGTCCCCGAATTCAGGTTTGTTCTGTGCTAAATTAAACCAGGATTCATTCCTGGTCCATTTCTCCTTTTTTTTTTCCTCATCCTCCTCCTTCTTGCATTCGGCCTTTCCTGATTTCAAAACAGGTAGTCCTCGACTTGCGATGGTTCTACGGAACGGCCGACGTTACGACGACGGCGCTGAGGGAAAACAGTGACTTATGACCCGTTTAACAGATATCGAGAGTTGGAAGGGAACTTGTAGGTCATCTAGTCTAACCCCACCCCCCCAAGCAAGAGGCCCTACACCACAGCCAGCCAGCTCCTCCCACCAACCTGTTAGAATTTGAAATGTTTCTCGCACCGACGGCCGTTGCAGCCTCAACATTCGGCGCGCAATGTGTGACGGTCGCAATGTTCCCCAGAGGGGGGCCGGCAGGTCACACGATCCCCTTTTGTGACCGTCTGGGGCGGGGGGGGGAAGCCAGATTCACTTAACAACTAGGGGACGGACTTTTAATGGTCGCCGCGATTCGCTTAACGACCGGCAAGAAAGATCGTTTAAAAAAGGCTGCAGAACTCGTCTGAGCAACAGTCTTGCTTAGCAACGGAAAGCTCGGCCTCCATTGTGGTCGTAAGTCGAGGATGACCTGCTCCTTGACTTACGACCAGTTTTGGGGGAATGGATCCCCCCCCCCACAGTTCTGAAGTTCCAAAGGCTGCTCCTTCCCCCCCCAAAAAAATGATCATATGGCCACATGTTGGCTTTCGGACACAATTACTTTCCCGCTTCTCACAGTGACGTGACCACATTTTATGTCGTTTTTGGCAAAAGTTGGGCGGGGGGGGGAATGGGGGGGGGGAAGGAAATGGTCATAAGTCACAGCGTTCAATGCTGTTGTCAAAGTCAAACGGTCCCCAAACAAAATGGTTGCAAGTTGAGAACTACCTGTAATTAGGACTGAAAGGGGGCCCCCTGGAGGTTGTCTAGTCCAACCTGCTCAAGCCGGGAACTCAGCATTTCCAACAATTAAGGTGTTAAGCTTCCCAATTTGCTTCCCCCACCCCGCCCCACCCAAATTGGCTCCCCCCCAGCTTCCCGCCCCTCTCCAATTGCACCCAGGTGAAGAATTGGGGTCTTGAATTCGGTTTGCAAAAAAAAAACACCCCCAAAAAACCCAAGCTGGCCACTAGAGGGCAGCGCCGACGGAGAGTGCTGGCACCCTCTAGTGGCGTTCTGGAGGAATTGTGCCCCGATGGCTGAGATGCACCTGCCCAATGGATGGAACCCAGAGCCTTGCAGCCTGCTCCCCCCCCCCCGCCTGAAAAAAAAGGGGGAAGGAAACCCCCTCCCCCATTTTACCGCAATGAGCGACGGGGAAGAGAGCTGGACAGTGTCCAACCTTGGCCGGATTAAACCCTCCCACCGTCCCAGGAGGGTTGAATTAAATGGCTCAACTGTGAGAGGGGAAATGTGTCAGGGCCCCCCCCCCACCCCTGCCAGTGCCCCCCACTTCCCTGACTGTGGCCCCCCCAACACACACACACACACACCCCGCCCCGCTCCGTCCTGGGGCTACTCAGCTTTGTGCATGAGCTGAGCTCAAACTGGGGAAGGCACAGTCTTGTTAAGCGCTGGCTGGTGCCCTCCCCCGCCCCCCTCAGGGGACTGGCCGGGGCTGTGTGTGCGTGGCCCCCCCCCAAGACCCTCGGAGTAGGGGGGGGGAGGAGAGAGAGAGAGAGATCCTATTGTTCGGTGAGGGAGAGGCGCAGGATCCGTTCGAGCTCTTCCTGCTCCAGGCGCAAACGGCGTTCGGCCTCTTCTTGCTCTTTGGCGGAGAGCGCCATGGCCAGGCGCAGCTGCTCGGCGTAGGTGGGCAGGCCGTGGCCGGGCCCACGGCCTGCTGCGGGGGGCGGCGGCTGCGGGGTGGCAGGCCGCGGGGGTGGCGTGTGCTGGGGTGTCCTGGTGGAGGCAGGGGGGGGAAGGAGAAAAGGAAGAGAGGTTAGCCGAGGATCTGGTGGTGTGGGACGCCTCCTAACAATGGTTCTTCGTGGACCCCTGCGTTGTGCTCCCTTTGTGGGTGGAGGGCTCCTTGGCGGTTTTCTTGCAGACGTTTCATGACCCAACTAGGGAATATCATCAGTGCTAGAAGGGAGAGGGGGTTTGGGGAGGGAGGGAGGAGGAGGAGGAAGAAAAGGAGGAGAGGAGGAAGAGAAGGAGGAGGAGGAGTGTGGGTTCATCAGTGCTCTCTCAGCTTGGCGATTTTCTTGCAGACGTTTCATGACCCAACTAGGGAATATCGTCAGTGCTAGAGGGGAGGGGGGTTTGTGGGGGAGGGAGTGAGGAGGAGGAGGAGGAGGAGGAGGAGGAGGAGGAGGAGGAGGAGGAGGAAGGACTGCGGGTTCATTAGTGCTCTCTGAGCTGGGTTGTTTTATTGCAGACGTTTCATGACCCAACTAGGTAACATCATCAGTGCTAGAAGGGAGGCGGGTTTGTGGAGGGAGGGAGAGGAGGAGGAGGAGGAATTGTCCTTGACCAATAGAATGGAGTATTTGTAGCTCAAGGTTGAATTGTGGGGTCCTCGATGCTCTCTGAGCTTGGATATTTTCTTGAAGACATTTCACGACCCAAACTAGGTAACGTCATCAGTGCTACTGGTATCAAGGAGTCATTACTAGCACCTTAACAGCACTGATGATGTTACCCAGTTTGGGTCGTGAAATGTCTGCAAGAAAACAGCTAAGCCCAAACTGCACCAAGAACCCCCAAATCCTCCTCCTCCCCTGGCTCCTTCTCCTCCACTCCATGTATACCCCCACTCCCTTCTAACACGGATGATGTTACCTAGTTGGGTCATGAAATGTCTGCAAGGAAACCACCCAGCTCAGAGAGCCCCAAGGATCCCTTCATTTTAATCCCTGAGCTACAAATATTCACGCTGCTTAGCTTTAAGCCTCCTTCACACCCAGTTATTTTGTTGTGTGACTTATTTGTCTAGTGTTTAATTCAACTTGTTTGTGTTAGATGATAATACCGCAGATCCAGAAAAACTGGGTTAAATTGGATTAAAACCAGATTAAAACGCTGTTTAAACCCAACTGGAGGGTAAAAAAATTTTTTGACTGGTTACCCATCTGTCTAAATTCACATCCTTCTGGATTTAACTCATTTACTAAGCAAATAGCTTGGATTTTGCCTCCAGCCGTGCCAAATAAGAAAAGAGAGAGATTTATAGGGAGTCCTTGACTTACGACCACAGTTGAGCCCAAAATGCCTGTCACTAAAGTGAGACGGTTGTTAAGTGAGTTTTGCCCCATTTTATGACCCTTCTTGCCACCATTGTTAAGTGAATCACTGCAGTCATTCAGTGAGTCACACGGTTGTTAAGTGAATCTGGCTTCCCCCGTTGACTTTGCCCGTCAGATGGACGCGAAAGGGGATCGATCACGTGACTGCCCCCCCCCCAGGACCCTGCAACCGTCATAAATATGAGTCAGTTGCCAAGCGGTCTGAATTTGGACCACATGAGGTCGTAAGTGTGAAAAACAGAGGTGAGTCATTTTTTTTCCCAGCGCTGTTCTAACTTCGAATGGTCACTAAATTGACTGGTTGTAAGTCGAGGATTGCCTGTAAGAGCGTGAAATTGACAAATATTCAGAGCAAGGATGTGAAATTGACACATCCCAAAGAGGAAGTGAAACTGGGAGAGGACCTCACCTGTTGACTCTGCGCCCTTCCTGGGACACTGGCAGCGTACCTGGTTTGCTGTTGGTTAACGCTTCCCAAATAGTCACCTGCAGGAAAGGGAGGCAGGTAATTTGACTCCCTCAAAATGCAACTTGAATATTTAAGAAGAGAAGAGAAGAATAGAATACAGAAGGAATAGAAGAGAGGAGAAAAGAGAATAGAATAGAAAATATGGGAATGGAAGAGGGGAGAGGAGAGGAAAGGAGAGGAGAAGAGAAGAGAAATAGAAGAGAAATAGAAGAGAAGAGAAATAGAAGAGAAGAAAGAAGAGAAATAGAAAAGAATAGAGAATAGAATAGAGAATAGAATAGAATGGAATGGAATGGAATGGAATGGAATGGAATAGAATGGAATGGGATAGGATAGGATAGGATAGGATAGGGCAGAAGAATGGAATAGAAGAGAAGAGAAATAGAAGAGAGAAGAGAGAAAAATAGAATAGAATAGAGAAGAGAAGAGAAGAGAAGAGAAGAGAAATAGAAGAGAAATAGAAAGGAGTAGAGAATAGAGTACAGAATAGAAGAGAAATAGAATAGAACAGAACAGAAGAGAAACAGAAGAGGAATAGAGAATAGAGTAGAAAATAGAACATAGAATAGAATGGAATGGAATATAGAATAGAATAGAATAGAATAGAATAGAATAGAATAGAATAGAATAATGTAGAATAGAATAGAGAATAGAATAGAGAATAGAATAGAATATAGAATAGAATAGAACAGAATAGAATATAGTATAGAATAGAATAGTATACAGTACAATACAATACAATATAAATACTGGTCGCCAACCGGTGGGCTGGGGACCCACTGGTGGTCCGTCAGAACATTTTGCTGGTCCACAGAGAAATGTCCCCCCCTCCCCCAAAGCACTTAATCCAGGCTGCGCGGAAACACAAGGCTGCGCCGCCCACATGGCCCACCCGCTATTTTTGAGCCAGATCTCATCTAATCCTCAAGAAAATGAAAGGACACGTGGACGTGAATCCGTCTAAACTTTGCTCTTTGCCTCTCTTAAAGGAGTTTGCTTGTACTATTTTGCTAAGGACGGGAATTCATTCGGTGAGAGAATTGTATCCTTTTCTATCCGGTTTCTCGCCTCTGCAATTTGCCAGGCCCCTCCTTGGAGACCATTCCCAGGAACATCCTGCTCCATAGATAAGAGGAGGCCACCTAGGAGCACAACCACACAAGGGATACTGTGTAAAATAACAACGTGTGGCTAGAGCCCGAAGGACCAAGACCGCTCCATGGGTAAGGAAGAGAAGACACTTCCCTTTATGTCTGATTGAATAAATAAACCAACCTTTATGTCTGATTGAATAAACTTTGTTTCTATCAGCGTAAAATGTACATAATACTCTGAGCCACTCTCGCAAGGTGTGGCTGTTCCTTACATGCATGTTGCCTGTATGTTTTCAGACATAGTATTTGTCATGCCCCTGTTAGAATCTGACTCGGAGGGAAAGGAGGAACAGGGATTGGGAGTGTAGCTCCGGAGGCTGTGGAGGAAACTGGGGAAGGACAGAGGCCGGATGGGCATTGAGAGGAAGACCCAGGCCCATCCCCTCTCCGTCCTAGGGCACGCAGGGAGGAACAGAGAAAGGAGCAACATGGGTTCGATGGCTTACGGGGGAAGAAGAGGCCCTGATCCCCTTCATGGGCTGCAGCTGGGAGGATGGTTTAAAAGGACAAACTGCGCATGGGCCCAGTGCTGGAAACGAAGCGTGAAATAATTCTAGTCTTTCAGTCCTTATCTGAGTTCTTACCTTCCCAGTGTGTGTATTTCGGTATCTGTGGACGTCTTCAAGCCCTGATCCTGCCTGGTCTCACTAATTGCTTCAGTGTGGTTTGTGTGGGTTGTTTTTTTTATTCATAATTTATATGCATTTTGAGTTTGAACAGCATTTTTTCCTTTTCGCAGCTGTTTGTGGGGGAGTTTTTTTTTTTCTCCAGTCAATGATAATTGGACCTTGGAGGCCAAGTTGAAGGAATGAAAAGAGACTTCACCTGTTTTTGTGACTTGGTTGCTTTTATATCCCACCCTGGGTCATCACAGGAATCACCCAGACTTTTTTTGCTTTGGCCAAAGAATTTAAAAAAAAAAAAAAGCGGTTATTTTTGCCAGCCTTCTCTCGAGTTGTGCCCTTTGGCATCTCCGCGGCTCAGGGAAACTTCTGGGACCTTAGAGAATCACCCCGGATGCCTGTTTTGGTAGCTGCAGCACCCTATCAATGGGATGGGCTTCAATGTCATTTCTGGCCCCTTTCACCTTTGACCTTCCCAGGGGTGCCCCGTTTCTGGGCCCCTCCAGGTCGGTTCTCCCCTACCTGGTCGTATTCGCTGCCCGCCTCCAACAAGCTCTGCTGAATGGCAAACTGCAGAAGGTCGTCTTCGTCCTCTCGCAATGGCTCTGGGTGCCTCCCGACGATGCTGTAGCCCTGGGGGGCTTCGAAGAGAGAGGGGTCCATCTCAAAGCAGCGGCAGGAGCCTGCGAGGAGGGAGTCCAACCACCATCAGAATAACAGAGTTGGGAGGGACCTTGTAGGTCATCTAGTCCAACCCCCCCACCCACCCAAGCGGGAGACCCTACACCATTTCTGACAAAT